GGCTGTGGACTGGGCTAAAAGTGGATTCTGCATCCACACCATAGATTCCTCTGAGGAATTGTTCAAGTTCCAGCCATGTCTCTGTGGTGTGATCTGGTAATACACTGGGCCACAGTTCGTCCTGGGATCTCTGCAGAAAACTATGGACGACTAGTCCCAGAGACGCAGAGGGATAGAGTCACAGCATCAGGACTGTGTGGTGTGGACATGAATCTGACAACCTGACTTGGTTCATTAAAACATTTTTTTAATTAATGGTTATTTATTTATTTATTATTACGTCAATATTATTATTGTCAAAAATATTGAAACTTCCCAAGAGTGATTATATATGTTCTCAGTAAATGTTTAAAAAATATTTAAAAATAAAATAATAATAATAATAATAATAATGGTGACCAAATATTTGGTTAGTGATTGCAAAAAAATTAAATATTAAAAAATAAATAAATACAAAAAGGTTAAAAACTAATTCAAAAATATGAGGAAAAAACAACAACAACAAAAAAATCATCATAAATTGAAGATATAGTTCACGGTTCAACCCACGACCCTAATAAGAACTCACTCCACTAACAATAAATCCTGGAGCCGAATTCTAATGACATTTCCGCTAGCAACAACAGCTAGCAAAAAAAGTACAGCGACAGTTGAACTTACTTCCTTGTGTTCTCATTCTTCAGCAGCGACTTGGCTTGTTGTTCACTGATGATGGTGGCTTTCACCTGCGGGGGGTTCATGTGCACATTCAGCTTCCCGCCCACTAAGAGGCGCACCGTAGCAGCGAACTTGGTTTGGGTTTTTAACACCTGTGGAGGCTGTTTCTCGATAATGAAGGTGCTGTGAAGGCAAAGAAGGGGACAAATTGGTCCGGTGTTAGCCTGAGAAGTCGTGCAGGTTTACCTCAAAGAGCCATAACTTCCAAGTAAAGAAATATGAAACCATGCCACTCGTCACAACACCTCTTATATATGTATATATATATATAAATACATATGTGTGTGTACCGAAATATAGTATATATAGAAATATATAGAGTATATTTTGTTCTGAATTTTAACCATAAAAAATGGACAAAGCTTCATTTCTGAGGAACTTTTACTTTTGAAGACTATTTCAGGAAATTATTTTTATGGCATGCTGCCTTTTGATCAAATGTTGACATATCAACATTGTCAGCAATATTTATATATTTATATATACACAGAAATATTTATATAATAGAAAATATAATTTTTTTTATAAACGTGTTTCAAGAAGAATTTGTTTCCTTTTGTTAATAATTCATATGGGAAAAATGGCAAGAAAAGTGTCGAAGTTTAGCTGCGCAGAATCGGTGGAGTTTCTTTTAAGACTTCAACAAGAACGACGGAAATGTCTTCTGTTGACTCTGCGAAAGGACAAAACACTGGCTGCGTCTCCGGCTCCATCTGTGTTCAGCAAGAAACCACCAGCCCTACGTCACCTGGTGAGATTTATTTAACCCGCTGATGCACGGAAAGTCAGCCGCAGCTGACGCAGCTCGCAGTCAGATTGTGGTCGTCTTGTTTTATTTGCTTGTTAAGTTGAGCAGTGAAAAGAAAGTGAGCACCAGCCACTCAGCTGTCTGTAAAACCACAGACTTGATTATTGACTACAGTGACAAACAGTAGTAATTGTTACCGCGGTAACCAGTGGCATCGCAGCAGCATCATCCAGCTGTGACGTTTGAAGCTCACCATTAGAATATCGAGTATAATAAACAGTAGTTTCCGTGGTTCACGTGTGCGTTTGATCAAATGCTGCGTCAGTTAGCATCAGCAATCAGGACAGCATGGTCACGGAGTACCAGGCACTTACTGATTCACTCTACAATACAATAAAGTACAACACAATACAGTACATGCTCTCTATGCAACTCAAGGCCATTTATTTCTAGTGGGCTTGTACATGTAAGTACTGCTTACACACAAGACAGTGTGTATTTGTATTGTGTGTGTGTGTGTGTGTGTGTGTGTGTGTTTGGACTTAGCTAAACTGAACCCTGCGGAGAGATGCTTTTTATGAACTCCAATTAGACAAATTGTGAGAGATACACACATTTTCTATCATTGGGTATCATATACTATTCAAATTCTTTTCACATCTCCCAGTCCTAACCCTGAATTAATCTGTATTACTGTGTTGATTCTCTTCAGTAAAATACAAAAGGTGCTTTGAAACAGTGGATTTCAACCTCAATCGATTCAACTGTACCATTAGTTGGTCCCAAGTGACTGAGGAAAGTGAGTATAGTAACATACAATATTACGCCATACGTGTCAAACTCAAGGCCCGGGGGTCAAATGCGGCCCGCCAAGCCCTTTTGTGTGGCCCGCGATAGCTTAAAAAGCATTAAGTAAAGTCCAGGCAGCAGAGTTTCTTAACCTGAGAAATTAAAAATCAAATAATAATCAATTGCAGAAACATGTATTAGTGATGGTGTAGTTACATCTATACCAGCGGTCCCCGACCTTTTGGTCAGCCAGTACCACCCGTTACTACCAACTGGTACCAAGATGCTGAGCATTGAAGGATCATTACATTTTCAAAATAAAACATCTTTATCCTATGGACTGGTACAGGTCCGCACACCACGGGTTGCCCTTCAGGAGGAACTGTATTGCTGATATGGCCCGTGGTCATAAATGAGTCTGACAGTCCTGTATCCCACGTACCTGGTGACCAGCGCTGAGATGATATCTGTGATGGTACTGTTGAGTTCATTGAGTAGATCTTCAATCGGACCGGGGATGGGCAGCTGCTGTCTGAGGTGCTCCGCCCTCCGAATCTGCTGCCTGTTCTGCCAGATCGCCTCCGCCAACTTCTCACACCTGACACACACAAACAAATACACACACACACACACACACTTCAGTCAGAACTGGGTCTGAGCACTGAACATAGACGTGGTCAAATACTACATTTCCAAAGGGCTGATAGAAATGGTTCTATAAAAACTGTTTCTGGTTTCTGTTCTATCACAAAAGGCAAACAGGGAAAGAACACAGACTTGAGGAGATCAGACGACGTCAACAAGTCTGTCTATGACCGTCCTATTAGGAGGGAAAATAAGCCCAGCGGTAGTCAATTTCATGCCTGTAAACTCGTGACCCCTTGTTTAGTGAGGCAGTCTCGTGGCTCTGATCTTGGTGGGAGGTGGAACAGAGACTCACCAGGACTGCAGGATGTCCAGGCCCCCCTCTGGTGGGCCCCCATTGCCTGCCAGCTGTTGCCGTCTCTTCCACTGGATCAGCTCATCATCCAGTATGATGGTCTGCTGCTTCCTTAACAGCTGCAGTGTCTTCTGGTGCTTCTCCGCGAGATCCTGTGCAGATAAAGAAGGACAATAAAGAACCACACATTCACAGTACCGGAATAGACCGCAGTCACATGTTGGTGCGGCGGGATCTCAACCTACCAGTCTGTATTTCTGTAGTGTGTTTGCCTCTCTGGTCAGCCATGCCTCCACCGTGGCCCTCTTATTGAGGAGGGCAGGCTCTCTCAGTTGGCGGTCAGCAGGGGGCAGCGTGGCCAGGCTGGTCAGCTGAGCTGAGAGGGGATTGAACAGCGAAGGAGTTAGTGGCCCTCAGTGAGCAGTCACTGTGAGGCAAATATATAGGTGCTGTTATATGGTTGTTGACATATATCAGGGGTGTCCACACTTTTTTGGCCTGGGAGCTACTATTGAAATGACCAGGCTAAATTGATCTACCTACAATGAAAATGTTAAATGTTATAATTATAAATCTCCGTATGCTACCAACTAGGCTAACGCTGCTGAGGAGAAACTAACGATTTGTCAAACCCTGTCCAAAACTTGTTGCCTGCCTTTGATTACACAGGCGGTTCAAGAACTTTGACCTTTGACCTTGCCTGATTTTTTCCTTCTCTCCTTCCCTCCTCTCACCTTGAATGCGAACACTCTCCTGGTACTGGATGATAAAGTATTCCTGGTTGTGCTGCAGCTTGCGCAGATCGTTCTCGGTGTCCTGCGTCATCAGACGGAGCTCTTCAAAGGCCTGGTTGATCTGCTGATATTTCTGAGACATGCTGTCCATCATTCCACCCAGCGGTGAGCTCGACTGTCGATGAGAACGCGTGATTAGAAAAACAGGATAATTGGAATAACTGAAATAAATCATGTTGTGTTGGTATTTTAATTCAACGCTAAATGGCGGCTTCGCTGTCTGCCGCTGGATGATTTGTTGCAGCTGTTGGGGGACATGACTTACTACTGGACCACAGAGACTGGAGATACAACATTAAACTGGACATGATGTAGTGACCTCCGTAGGTGCTTATGGGGATGGTTGACCACAAACAAACTCGGTAAGCAGCCGCAGAGAGAGCAAAGAGTGAGGGAGGGAATGCGTTTGCTTATCATCCTGCAGCAGACTCCCTGGTCAGTTAAAGCTCCCTAACCCAGAGAGCACATGGTGCAAAAAAAGGTTCGGACTAACGAGGGAGAATTCAATCAGACCAAATATGCATTTGGCTAACAGAAAAGGCATGATGTGACTGGAAATCAATTCACCCCAGCGGCTGCTGGGAGTCAGATGTTTTACAGACTGCTGGCTTTGTGGTTTAAGACCTGCGTGGATTCAATAAAGCATGAAATATTTCAGCACCGCGGGTTTAAAGACGGCTTTATGTTTTTCATGCTGCAGTCTAGCGATACAAAGGGGTCACTCATATGAGGTCACCGAACGGCGTAATGGATTGGGTTTCGAGCATCTTTATGTACGGTGTTTACACAGACTGCGGAGGAGGAGAGAAATGCTGCCAAATTACCCAACATCTGCCGAGGAGGAGAGAAATGCTGCCAAATTACCATCATTAACATCTGCCACTGACACGCATTTATGTAGTTTGTGTCGTCAGGTTAGGATATAAATAATGCAGAAGGTACGAGGAGACAGTCGTGTTTAAATTTCAGGATGTCTATAGCCCAACCATCATTTTCAGATTTGTTTTTTTTCTTTTTTTTTTTACTTTTGACGAGCATACTATTCAAGAGATTATAAATAAATCACTAACGACGTCTGATGTCTGAAAATATAGACGGAGGAAATCTTTAGACTGCATCCTGTTTTAGCATGTTTTCGCTAAGAAAAATGGTTGTCGGGTCTTAAAACAGGAAAAAAAATGGAAAAACAAGAAGTAAATAAACATCAGAACTTTTAATATTGCGTTTCTTCTTCTGAGGGAAAAATTGAAGCTGAATTGTAAATGCTTGACTTGGAGTCCTGACATGTTGACTGAGCTGTACTGTAAAAAAAATAATGTAATGCTCTGTTGCATATATTTTAGATATTATTTTATTCCTGCCTTTATTTTAATAATATACTATTTTATTATCACGTTTTACATTTTAACTGTTGTATTTATTTACTTTTATGTATACTTCCAATATATCAAAATATAGTTAATTATATTATATTGCTGATAAATAATACAATTTAATTGATTTTAAATAAAAGGCTGTGTTAGACATATTTCTAAATGCTGATTTTATATTTCTAGTATGGTAAGATTCCATTGTCCAGCACCTTAAATGTTACTGTTAAATGTTCAATATTTATATGCATACATAATGTCTTATTTTTCAAATATTCTAGATTCATCTTATATTTTTTTTTTCTAAGTCTCAATTCTTTTCGGGTCACTTTTTTGGCCAGGATTTGTTTGTTGAACTAGTTTGCTAATGCTTAACGCGGCTACTGAAAACTGATTTAAACCCAGTGGAGAAATACTCTGAGTCCGGTCACCCTAGGGGTGAGTTGGAATCATTACAAAATAGAGATAAAAATAAATGAAAATGCTCAAAGTCCAAAAACATACATTTGAACATCAGTGGCTCTTCACAAAGTTTCCCAACTTTTCCCGATAAGGGGGAGGGTCACAGGACACACACACGCAGCACACTCACATTGGTAGCCTCTCTGACGAGCCTCTGCTCCGTGTATAGGATGTGTTTGATGCATCGGACCAACTCCAGAGGACAGCGGTCATACGTGCTCTGAAAGACAAGAAGCACATGTGCCGTGTTAAGGCCTGTTAGCCCCTGAAGAGCGGAGCGGCCGCTGCACACAGGGCTGGCTAATTTAGTCACATCAAGGCGGCTCGCTGAGCCGTGGAGCCGCTGCTGCAGACAACTTAAAACCCCATTAGCTGGGTCCGAGGAGAGCCATCTCCGAGGCTCGACGGACGTTAGGAAGAGAAGTGACTCATTAACATTTACAGACATGCTGTCACACACGTATGCAGCAGAAATAATTGGTTTAGGGTTACAGTAGCGTCTCCCGGTTTCACTTTTGATTCAAGAAGAACTGTTGTTGTTTCCTGATTTTGAAAGGAAGGGAAGGGAAAAATTTCACTTTTGATTCAAGAAGAACTGTTTTTGTTTCCTGATTTTGAAGGGAAGGGAAGGGAAAAAATTAAACGAAAGTACGAAAGTAAAGTAAACAACAAGAGTTTGAGGAAACATAAAGTGAGCTTCGGCAACCGTCGTTCTGCCGTTTTTCTGTGGCCTCCGACAAAGATCGTTGGTTTTCGCTAACTATCGAGGACCGTTTCACAAACGGCTAGCAGCTTTGATATTTGTTCGTCTCAGTGTCTTCATTCTAACCATAGCTGTACAACCAGTATTTCTTCTTAGTGTTATTTTATTTTGAAACATTACAAGTTTGTGTCAAATGGTGTAAATCCAGGTGCAGTTTCTCAACTTTTGTGACACAACTTTTTGGAAGAATTTATGAAAAAAAAAATTCATATTTCTAATTACTAGAACAAATAAATAATTTGCGTAGTTCTCATGAAAAAAAAAAAAATTAATATTTCTAATTACTAAAACAAATAAATAGTTTGCGTAGTTCTCACTGAAACACATTGTGAAAATTGTATTAAATTAAACAATGTTTTGTTCCCTGTTCATATGAATATCTTTTCCTTATAAGAAAATAACATGAAGCAATGTATTCTGGGAATTTTTCTTTAGGCTTTTCTTACTACTTGGATTGGATTCTTACTACTAGATGGATAGATGGATGGATGGATGGATGGATGGATGGATGGATACAGCGGAGAAGGAATTTAGTTGTTTCTTTTTGTTTGTTTTTTTCGTGCACAGCCGGCCCTCTCACCCCATTTCTCTGCCTGGTGTGGGACACGACGGAGGACAAACACAGGAGATTGGCTGTGTGAGCAGGAGACTGATCATAAATATCTGTGCTGGCTGGTGACCAAGGCATTCACTTGAGCTTTCTCTCTATTTTTTTTCTCACAGCAGATACGACTTGTTCCTAAAACATTTTGTCCACCGCGAGCTTTTTTCTTAGAAATGTGACAACGGAGTTGACAGACCAGAATGGTTCCGCCTTCTGACAACTTGCTTATCACCGTGCCACACTGGAAACAAATCAAACCTTTGACAGCATTGTAGGCTGAGCAGGAGGAAGTCGAGAGTTTATGACCCTGTCTCTCTGTGAATGGCCCTGTGGCGGTGACTGAGGATCATTTAATGACGTCGATAAGGGTACTTTATGGTATGGTATTATTTAAATTATGTTTAGCAAAACAAAGTGACGTCATGGAATAAAGTCGTATTATTAATATATAAGAAATGAAGCCCAGCGTTCATCAGTGCGAAGCAACTGAAGTCACAAATGGCTAAGACATAATACTTTAAGCAGACAAAACATTTTTTAAAGCTGCTCTGTTATGTACAAATAACTACAAAATGTTTCCCAAAATGACACAGCTAGCATTATAATATTATATATATATATATATATTTAAATCTAATTTATCAAAACTATCATAAAAAACAGCTTAGAGATTATATAAACCACTGTAACACACAAGTTTACCACAAGGAGGCTAACTTAAATGTACACAACAATAAATGATAATTTATTGTTGTGTATAACAACTATAACAACTATTGTTATAACAACTAATATCCAAAATTAGCATTAATAGTGAAGGTTAGCAGAAATGAGAGTGAAAAGTCATCAGAGGTATGACTGTAGAGTAAAAAAAAACAGGAAAACTAAAAACTAAAAAAACTCATACAAAGGTACGAAAATGATCAAGGAATGACTCACCAAAAAGAACCTTCTTCAAATTAGCTAGTAGATGTTTGTGACATCTTGTCTGACTGCCAGTACTAGTGTACTAGGACGACTGACTGAATTAAAAAATATTTTGGAAATTCAATATTTTGCTATTTACAACTTTGATATATGTATACTTGTTAAAAATGAAAAATAAATGGCCTCATTTCAAACTCATTTAGCTTAGCTTTAGCTTACGCCTGCTAGCATGGAAGTCAGGAAAGTTATCCTGAAATATAGTCTAATGGTTAGACAAACATTTATTAAAATTGATACGGACGCAGTCAAATGCCTTTAAACTTCACTGTAGGAAAGACTACCCCCCCCCCAACAACAACAACAACAAAAAACTATATTTTTTATAAATTCTGCCAGACTTTGAACACTACGAGGCCCAGTGTCATAACCCAAAAAAATGATTCTCTGAATTGCATGAATAAGTGAAGAAAAGTCCTGTTTAGGTCTACGTTCCAGAGACGTACCTTTAGCTGGCTGGCGTAGTGTCCTAGCTTGATTCGGAGGAGAAAGCCGTCTTCTCCCACTTGGTGCTCAGCCTTGTTCTGCAGCTCCTGAATCAGACTGTCCAGCAGACGTTTGGCCTTGAACTCCTCCTGTGGGTTCTCCAGGTCTATGACATCCCTAAAACACACAGACAGAACACACACAAACGGGTTTGGTTACTTTAATAAAAAAAAAAAAAAAAAAAAAAAAAAAGAACAAATGAAACCAAAAGCCTTTCCAAATGGACAAACACAGAAGACAAACATTTCATCACCCACGTGAACATCTGTGTGCAGGGACACTCACCACAGCTGACCCTCTATCCACTGGGACAGATAATGTCGCACCTCGATGGGGAAGTGCTGACCATACAGAGACTGCATCTGGTGCAGGGCATCTCCCTGGAGCTGCTGGGCCTGGATCCACACTGCCATCTTCAACACCCTGTGGTAGAAAGACAAGCAGTGGTTCTCAATTATTTGCTGTCGTACCATCAACGCCTGTTGGGGACAGAAATGTTTACACCCCCCCCCCAAAACCTCTGACTCACTCCCCCGTGATTTAAAAGAGAACCTGATATCATGTATATTTTTATCTGTACAAACCACTGTATGAGTTGCTGCCACCTAGTAACTGGAGGCTTGTTATCATTCAATCATTACAGCAGTGGTACACCTATGCGTGCCATATTATTAAAATTAGGATTTGGAACCAGGATTATCCGGACCAAAAGAACAGGAGTGAGTGGTGTCTTCAGACAAACTACAAAAAATGCAAAATACAATAATAAAAAAAAATCTTCTTCTAACTTATGGAGGCATTTGTGCTGACATCACCGCCTTTGACTCTTCGTGTGCTCAGCAGTGGTATCCATTTTCTTTGACTCACAGTCAGTACAGTAAATAAGAAAGTAAACAAATGCCTCAGTACCTATAGAAGTGAAAACGTTTTTTTAAAGCAAATCAATAAAAAAAGGCGAGTAATAAAAGGTTAGTAAGTGATTCAGGTGTTTAAGTCAGTGAGGAACAAAGGCAGAGCTGCAGCTGCGCCCTGATCTTTGGTCGACAGCTCACGGCTGTCCAGTTTAGTCTGATGTTTCTGGGTCTGTTTACATTAGAAAAACAGTGACGTAGGTACACTTGAACGAGCTCATGCACGAAACATGTCCCTCGATCATCAAGAAGGACTCAATGAATTAAAATGAATTATTTAGAATTTTCTATAAAGGACCTTCGGATAAAACATGTACCTTTCTGCAATACGTGTGACTCAGCAGAGCACACGCACCAGGCAGTAGGTTCAGACTACTTTAATTTACCATATCATGCTGTGGACACGACAACTTATGTCCTAAGTTGTCGTGTCCACAGCATGATATGGTAAATTTCCGATAATGTCCAAGGTGTGACATACAGTTATTTGTTTACAGTATTTCCCAGAGAAGCTTTTAGCTGCAAACCATGAATATCAGCTGTGAAGACTGGACATAACCAAGTGTCACTTCATGATACACACAAACGCAAAGTGGCTCTGTAGCAAAAAGAAAATAATAAAGAAAAAAAATCCATGAAAAACTTGAACTCTGAAGCCCAATCAGAAAAGGTCTAAAAAAAATGTGTCTCAATTTTAAAGAGGAAAAACAGGTCGATAAAATCTAAAGAGAGGTATATTTATAAAAGAAATAAATCAAGAAATATTTCCAAAATATAAAAAAATTATATTTATATATTTATATGAGGGTTCCTGTTGAAGTAGGCGGCCTGGTTTTTCTGACACTGGAAAACGACTGTTAGCTCTTATTATGCCTCCAACTGCGGTATAACCAGTTTGAAGCATGTTGTTAAGAGGACAATTTAGCTGAAATGTCAACATAGCCGTGGTAACTTCATTCGTTTCATTCCGTTAAGTATAGCAGTCATGAGTAACGAGGTGTGTTCGCTACTGACGACCATCAACATGTTCACACTCTGTGTGACATCAGAATCCAATAAATGCTTTACTGTAAGTGAGAGCGATGCGGTGGGCTTGCGGTCAATCGTCCTGCCCGGGGGGTGGATAGGATGACCGCCGGGGAAATGTGCGCTGTGAATTTACTAAAACCAATCTCACGTAAAGTCGCTTAAAAGCTGCCCCTGTCCACAGTGAGTGAAATCAAACCATGACCTGGTGTCATGTGATTTCCCTCTGAACATGTGTGCGTGCATGTCTCTCTGTGATGAAGACGTAACGTCGGGTCGCTGTTACACGTTTCCAGTCACAACACCCACCAAGTCTTCTCAAAAGTGGCACAGTCACTGTCAGTAAAGCACCGAGCAGTATGAGTATACGCAGGAAGTTTGTGGTGTGTGTGTGTGTGTGTGTGTGCGCCTGTTTAGGTGTGTGTGTGCGCGTGTTTGTGTGTACTATCAAAGGCCCTCGTCCCCTCCAAGGTTCTACTTTGGCATCGTGAGTGTGTTTGTACTTAAACACTCCTTTCATTCATACCAACAGTTTACAATATCCACACTAACCTCAAGGCATTCTCCATGTCGCCGCTCCTCTCTTTTTGGTCAAATTTTTATACTTCTGGCATATACCGAAATACAAATGAATTGTTTTTTAGTTATTTTAAATTGGGAAAACACAATGGAGTGCTGTTGTGGACTGGATTAATGGCCGTGGAATGGCCTTATTGTATTTGCTTATATGTGTGTATATATACACACAAATATATATGTGTGTTTTTGTATGACTCTCTCTCTATATATATAAACATATACGAACAACATATACTATACTGTATATGTCTCAATATCTTAATATGGCTTTCTCTGTCTTTATACACACAGATATACATATATAAATAAATATATATATATATATATACATATTTTTATTATTAATATTATTTATTTTTATTTTTTTACCAGCAGTAGAGATGTATTAAGATATAACCTCGGAAACTTACTTTCAAAAAGGAAGTGTTTCTTTGGCTAGTAAATATATGACACAACTTTCTTTCAACGCTTTTGTAAAATTAAAAATATTTAAAGCGACTTACTTTATCTCTGTGAAAAATGTTAATCTGATCATCAGGCGAAGCTGGTGATGACAAAAACTTTTTGTTTATTTGAATGTTGTGTTGTGGACCTGATGTAACCATTTTCTTTTTATCGTCTCTTTCCTTGAGCTCCATTCTGAATACCATAAAAAATATACTTATAAAGAAGAAATTATGACAGGACTTTAGTGTCCTGAAGAACCTCTTTTATACGTCCCCAAGCCTATACAGACAAAAAAAAAGCCGTTGGCTCAGACTTGAGACTTGACACATACTTCACTGACATTAAGCAGCCGCATTCATTCAGATGTGATTGTAAACTTTTGGCTTCATAAATCTTAACAGATGGTTTCGGTAAAATGTGTGTGGACTGTTGCGGTAATGTGCATTGAAAAACAGCCAAGCCAAGTATATGAATTCGACAGAGCATATATTTAAATCACTCAATGGTGCATTGTTGCTATAGAGTTGTGTGTATGACAACAGACTGTTTGATATATGACTCCATCCCTGTTCAGTGTTGGTAAATGAGTTGACTTTCAAATGTGTAAATAAGACTGATCTGTGACAGTATCAAGCTCGAACCATCAGCTGATCGGAGGGAGTAACTAAAAAGGAAATGCGTAAAACCCACTTATCACCGCTGTTTGTGACGCCCATTGCGGTGCCGTGCTGCTTCTCTGTCCCATCCTCTCACACAAACACAGAAACAATCGCAGACAGCTGTTGGCCAAACCAAAGGCAGAGCAACTGGCATTCACTTTCTTTTCCTAAAAACAAAAATACCCAAAAAAAAAAAAAAACACCACTGTGTCTTCTGGTAACTCTTACGCCTCTCACCTCCAAACAGCAGAACAAGGCAGTTCCCAGCATCTGTTTCACTCTGACTAAACCACAACATCCAAGTGCCTTGGACTGAACCAGAGATGAGCTGCGATTAGACTGAACAATTTAAAGTTTTGTTCAATTTTTTTTTTCATCGAATGCGTTCTTTAGGTCAACAAATGTCACTGCTGATTTATATATAATAAAATAAAATAAATTTCACCTTACCTCTTGATTTCAGGTCTGTACCATGTAACAGCAGGAAACTCTAAAGATGAGCACCACAAACCAGAGAGAGAGAGAGAGAGAGAGAGAGAGAGAGAGCAGGGAGGAAAGCAAAATGAGGAAGTGAGGCAGCCTTGAGTACTTCTAAGGACACTATCTTTACACAGGGACTACTACATTCACAACATGCCCGAATCCCAAATATTAGAAAGGGAGGGAGCAGTGAATGGATTCATGTCCTTTTTTGTTTTGTTTGTTTTTTTCAAACTAATTGCACGCCTACTGTTTACTTACACCACTGCAGACAGAATACAAACATGTACCTCAAAGTCAGGTCACCTTGCTACTTTGCACAGGCCTAACACATCTGAAAAAAGGTGTGCCGTGCTTTATCTTTTTTTTCTACTAAATAGGATCATTATACAACGTTTTACATCAGGTTCAAGACCATTGAACATTAAACGACCTTTAAAAAAAATGAATACCACATAAATTAAGATGAAACCAGGAAGTAGGTGGATGGACTAGGATTGTTCTCTCGTGACAAAACCTTCGCGACCCAAGTCAATAGACATTTTTCGTAAACTCCTGGAAAACATGATGCGAAATGACCCCCCAAAAAATCTCTTGCGGCCCACCTGAGGGCTGCGACCCAGTCTTTGGGAAACAATGCTCAAAACACCCATTCTCTATGATTCGTCTACATAATAAAGCTACCGTGAATTGACTAGGATAGTACAACAGAGTGTCTGTAAAGAAAGAATCTGGTTGCTGTTATAAAAGGACAAACAAAAAAAAAAGGAAGGCAGGACTTAATTTGATCAAAAACTTTAAACACAGACATGTCTTTAAACCCTATTTTGTGTCTTTCTTAAAAACGAATCTCACAAACAGCAGGCAGATGCATGTGTGGATGAAGAAGAATGTGTGATTGAAAGCAGAGATAAACGTGCATCAAGCCAACAAATACATATCTTGGGTTTTTTGGGGGGTGGTTTTCTTTAGCCTCTCTACAGTATCGTCGACATAACACTAAAGTAACAGCAATAATGGCTGAAGAAAGAGAACATAAGGAACACACATGCTGGACGAGTCTCGAGACAAATATGTGAGTATCTTTATTTGCTGTCTGTCTTCAGCATAAGCCTGGTCAGATTTCTGCCAGCTTACAGTACTTGTTAGTTCACCCCTCAGGCTAACACCTGCGAGCTCAAACTAGCCTGTTTCACATATTTGTATAATTCGGAGAGTACGACTGAAAAAGTTGTGACTAGAAAGTCCTCAAGGTCCTGCCTCTGTGTCACTGTAGAGGGGAGCAGGCCTTGGTTGGTTCTCACTGGACTGCAGCGTCAAT